AGGTCGGAGAAAATATTCAGTGTCGTGTTTTGGTTTAAGTTGTAAGTATATTTGAATTTACAGTCGAACTGCAAGTACTTTTGTGTCTGGATCTGTCTCTCGATCTGTCTCTCTGTCTCTCTATTACAGCGTTAGGGAATCAGCATGCTTTACAAAGATACCAGTGTGCATAACCAACCCACACAACACAGACAGGAGTACATTAGACAACCACCAAATAAATTTATCTATAATCAGACAGCTAAAATTTCTTTTGAATCAAAGATTAGGGTATGGTTAAAATCAATTATAAAAGTAAATAAATGTGAAGAACATTAGATAAACATGATGTAGATTCGTTAACGGAGATACATATTACATCAACCACAATACATATTATAACGGTACACAATGCACAGGCGACACACTCTACATTACTGTCACACAGGATAGTATAATACATATCATAACGGTACACAACGTAAATGGTTGGATACAGCACAGGCGACACACTCTACATTACTGTCACACAGGATAGTATAATACATATTATAACGGTACACAACGTAAATGGTTGGATACAGCACAGGCGACACACTCTACATTACTGTCACACAGGATAGTATAATACATATTATAACGGTAAACAACGTAAATGGTTGGATACAGCACAGGCGACACACTCTACATTACTGTCACACAGGATAGTATAATACATATTATAACGGTACACAACGTAAATGGTTGGATACAGCACAGGCGACACACTCTACATTACTGTCACACAGGATAGTATAATACATATTATAACGGTACACAACGTAAATGGTTGGATACAGCACAGGCGACACACTCTACATTACTGTCACACAGGATAGTATAATACATGTTATAACGGTACACAACGTAAATGGTTGGATACAGCACAGGCGACACACTCTACATTACTGTCACACAGGATAGTATAATACATATTATAACGGTACACAACGTAAATGGTTGGATACAGCACAGGCGACACACTCTACATTACTGTCACACAGGATAGTATAATACATATTATAACGGTAAACAACGTAAATGGTTGGATACAGCACAGGCGACACACTCTACATTACTGTCACACAGGATAGTATAATACATGTTATAACGGTACACAACGTAAATAGTTGGATACAGCACAGGCGACACACTCTACATTACTGTCACACAGGATAGTATAATACATATTATAACGGTACACAACGTAAATGGTTGGATACAGCACAGGCGACACACTCTACATTACTGTCACACAGGATAGTATAATACATATTATAACGGTACACAACGTAAATGGTTGGATACAGCACAGGCGACACACTCTACATTACTGTCACACAGGATAGTATAATACATATTATAACGGTACACAACGTAAATGGTTGGATACAGCACAGGCGACACACTCTACATTACTGTCACACAGGAGAGTATAATACATATTATAACGGTACACAACGTAAATGGTTGGATACAGCACAGGCGACACACTCTACATTACTGTCACACAGGAGAGTATAATACATATTATAACGGTACACAACGTAAATGGTTGGATACAGCACAGGCGACACACTCTACATTACTGTCACACAGGAGAGTATAATACATATTATAACGGTACACAACGTAAATGGTTGGATACAGCACAGGCGACACACTCTACATTACTGTCACACAGGATAGTATAATACATATTATAACGGTACACAACGTAAATAGTTGGATACAGCACAGGCGACACACTCTACATTACTGTCACACAGGATAGTATAATACATATTATAACGGTACACAACGTAAATGGTTGGATACAGCACAGGCGACACACTCTACATTACTGTCACACAGGATAGTATAATACATATTCAAAATAACGCAGTTAAATTTAAACAGACTAGGAGTTGTGAACAGTTATACATGGGAATATCTGAGAAACACACCAAAGAATGATACGTTCTATATATGCCTAAAGGTGGAGCGATTTGACCAACGTGAAACAAACAGACGTAAATACAGATAAGTATAACATCTTGACTTACCTTAACTCTGTGTGACCAGCACAATACGAGATGCTTGTCACGGATTATGTCCGATGCTCGTCACGGATTATGTCCGATGCTCGTTATCAATGCGACCCTTGGCAGGTTTAAGACAGTAAAACGTGGTCGGTTTATCTGTAATATTTTTATACTTTCCAGCAGCATGTAACGTGAAATATATTTTTAAAATTCGTTTCGGTTTCAAAAGTGTTCGGATATTCGTACGTATTCTATTTAATTTAAATATATATATGTATTATGGTGGGGTATATTTACTATAGCTATTTGTATAGAAACTAATAGTACAGAAATTAAAGCTGGTCATAATAATATAGTTTCAGTTGTACAGGCATTGACACATCTTGTTTTCTGCCAGGAATGTTTGCTTTCATCGTACAACTAATGTTTCAGCTTGTTCCACGATCATTGGTGACCCTGACCTACAATTGCCCCGATTTATCATTGTGCTCGTTTGTCGTCGAATGGAAACAATGTCGGCTTAATTACATTTAAGGCTGCATATGTGTTTCTTTGGTTTTTTTTGAAGTGACATAATATACTGCTGAAACTTGCCCGCGCAAGCTCCATTTCACTGATGACTGATTCACTTGGATGTTACTTTACCCTACAGTTGCAACTGACGTCTTCTAAATTTATTAATACAAAACTATGTTACGAGTTCTTGTCCGTGCTCTGGGAAGATTGCAGCATACCTCTAGCCCGCAGGCAGAGTTTAGCCTTGCTCCCTCATGGAGTATTTGTATAGAATTTTTGTTTCGAAAAGCTAAGGCAACATCAGATTGCTTATTTCGGCTTCAGATAGATAAATTACGATATCAGTTTTATTGAAGTCATTGTCAAATCATGCAAATGTATAGATTTCTCTTGTAGAGGTAGGTACATACCTCGACAATGGAGACATCATATAAGGCTTAATCTCCTCACTGTCAGTATTAAAATGTCTCCGCCTTTTGAGATCACGAGTCACCCCAAACTATGTAAATACTAATGTGTTGTATGTTTGATTGAATTCATGTATCAATAATCTTCGGATTGATTTCTGGAGGAAATAAAGAATCTCTCTCTCTCTCTATATATATATATGACCGATGAGCCACTTCTGCCGCCTGGTGTGTCATATGCTTCACGCAGGCATACTTTTGTGAGTCAACATTAGAAGACAACATTATATAGTTTAATAGTTAACACAGCAGGTGCAAACATAAAAGCATCACGTGACAATCAATACGAGAAAGATGGAACTGAAGTTGTGATGTTGTATTAATAATTAGCAACAGAATACCCAGTCTTGACTATCAACAGACAAGCACGGTGTAAAGGGTAGACGAGCAGTGAAATATATGGATCACTGAATGTCAATGATAACACCAGGTGTTCGTGAAAAGGGTCAGCAGACGCTGCCCTACCGGTAGCAGCCACCAGTCGCAGGGTCAGCAGACGCTGCCCTACCGGTAGGAGCCACCAGTCGCAGGGTCAGCAGGCGCTGTCCTACCGGTAGCAGCCACCAGTCGCAGGGTCAGCAGGCGCTGTCCTACCGGTAGCAGCCACCAGTCGCAGGGTCAGCAGACGCTGCCCTACCGGTAGCAGCCACCAGTCGCAGGGTCAGCAGACGCTGCCCTACCGGTAGCAGCCACCAGTCGCAGGGTCAGCAGGCGCTGTCCTACCGGTAGCAGCCACCAGTCGCAGGGTCAGCAGACGCTGCCCTACCGGTAGCAGCTACCAGTCGCAGGGTCAGCAGACGCTGCCCTACCGGTAGCAGCCACCAGTCGCAGGGTCAGCAGACGCTGCCCTACCGGTAGCAGCCACCAGTCGCAGGGTCAGCAGGCGCTGTCCTACCGGTAGCAGCCACCAGTCGCAGGGTCAGCAGACGCTGCCCTACCGGTAGGAGCCACCAGTCGCAGGGTCAGCAGGCGCTGTCCTACCGGTAGGAGCCACCAGTCGCAGGGTCAGCAGGCGCTGCCCTACCGGTAGCAGCCACCAGTCGCAGGGTCAGCAGGCGCTGTCCTACCGGTAGCAGCCACCAGTTAATTTTGAATTAAGACTACTGTTTAGAAGAAGTACTTAGATTCCGATGCTTATAAGTAAGTAACGTTTGGGAAATAGACATGATGTACAGCGCATTCTGAATCAGTTTTAAACATTTCTAGTCGAGTCGACATAGTTAAATATGCTACTGAGCCATGAGAACATTCATCTTCACCATATCCATATCGCAAAACACCAGGGCCAAAATAATTTGAACACATGGGATAGTCGGCTTTCCATTACATTTCAAGGACAGACGTGTGGCACCATGGAATCACCAAAGTTTAATGAAAAACACACTCAAGACATAAATATGGTTATATTTACTCTCGCAGTTGGAATAATTCAAAGATCTCATAGAAAATCATAGATGATCCTTGATTGGAGGCACGCGCGCACGCGCACGCGCTCTCTCGCGACTGAGGATCAAAGAAAGAACGCGCAGCAGCCGAGTAACCAAACTGGGCATGAGGTTTATCTGCACAAGGGAAGCGTGGTCTGTCTGGTAGCGAAAGCTGTAGCCGCATGAAAATGTGACTCCAGTAGAACAAACAGAAATGAAATTGCCCTGCAAACGATACGAACAATATTGCCAACATGAAGACATCTGAGGTCGAAATGAGCTATCAATACCAACAACAGGATATCTGCCTTCCTAAAACTTAACTGTCAGATATTTATGAAAAAATGGCGTGTAGATAGGTCCATAAGAGGTAAGAGTATAGCTGGGTAATTAAAGGGTAAGTAGATGGGCAAGAGAAGAGAAGGAAGATGGGTAAGTAGATGGGTAAGTAGATGGGTAAGAGAAGAGAAAGGAGTAGGGTAAGGAGATGGGTAAGTAGATGGTGAAGAGAAGATAAAGGAGATGGGTAAGAAGATAGAGAAGAGAAGATAAGGTGAGGAAGAGAAGAGTAAGGAGAAGGATAAGTGAAGAAGGAGAGAGAAAAGAGAAGGTGAGAGAAGAGAAAGAGAAGAGAAAGGAGATGGAAGAGAAAGAGAAAGGAGCAACGAAGAGAAAGGAGAAAGGAGGATGAAGAAGAGAAGGAGAAGGAGGAAGGAGGTGGAAGGAGAAGGGAAGTAAGATGGAAGAAGAGGAAATGAGAAGAGAAGATAGGAGGAAGAGAAGAGAAAGGAAGGATGGACGGGAAGAGAAGAGGAAAGGACCAAGGATGGGTGGAAGAGAAGAGAAAGGAAGGACGGAGAAGAGAAGAGAAAGGAGAAGAAGGAAGGACAAGGAAGAGAAAGAGAAAGGAGATGAGAAGAGGACCAAGGAAGAGAGAAGAGAAAGAGAAAGAAGGAAGGACGAAGAGAAGAGAAAGGAGAAGACAGGTGAGAAGAGAAAGGACAAGAGAAGAGAAAGAGAGGAAGGTAAGATGGAAGAAGGAAGAGAAGAGAAAGAAGATGGGTAAAGGATGACGGTGAAAGAGAAGAGAAAGGAGGAGGTAAGGAAGGAGGAAGGGATGGAAAAAGAGAAGAGAAAGGAGATGGGTAGGTGGAAGAGAAGAGAAAGGAGAAGGTGGAAGAGAAGAGAAAGAAGATGGATAAGACGGTGAAGAGAAGAGAAAAGAAGGAAGACGAAGGAAGGAAGAAGAGGAGGATGAAGAGAAGAGAAAGGAGAAGGGTAAGAGAGGAAAGGAAGAGAAGAGAAGAGAAGAGGAGAAAGAAGGAAGATGGAAGAGAAGAGAAAGGAGAGAAGGAAAGGGATGGTGGAAGAGAAGAGAAGGTGAAGAGATGGAAGGAAGAGAAGAGAAAGAAGATGGAAGAGAAAGAGAAAGGAGAAGGAGAAAGAAGGAAGGAGAGGAAAGAAGAGATGGGATGGATGGATGGAAGAGAAGAGAAAGGAGAAGGGTGGATGGAAGAGAAGAGGGTGGAAGAGAAGAGGAAAGGAGATGGGAAAGGATGGAAGAGAAGAGAAAGAAGATGGGTGGAGGATGGAGAGGAAGAGAAGAAAAGGAGAAGGAAGAGAAGAGAAAGGAGATGAAGGATGGAGTGGAGAGAGAAGAGAAGAGAAACCAGGATGGACATGGAAGAGAAGAGAAAGAAGATGACGAAGGACGTTGGAAGAGAAAGAGAAAGGAGATGGACCCAAGAAGAGAAAGAAGAGAAGAGGAAGAGAAGGAGAAAGAAGAGGAAGAGAAAGGATGGGTGGACGAAGAGAAGATGAAAGGAGAAAGAAGAAAGATGGTGGATGGGGAAGAGAAGAGGAAAGAGAAGATAGATGAGACCAAGTGATGGACAAGAGAAGAGAAAGAAGATGGAGAAGGATGGAAGAAGAAGAGGAAAGAAGATGGAGAAAGACAAAGGAAGAGGAAGAGAAAGGAGATGGACAGAGAAGAGAAAGTGAAATGGAAGAGGAAGAAGAAAGAAGAGAAAGATGAGAAAGAAAGAGAAAGAAGATGGATAAGATGGATGGTGAAGAGAAGAGAAAGGAGAAGGATGGAAAGTAGATGGAAGAGGAAAGGAGGAAAGGATGGGGAAGGATGAGGAAGAGAAAGAGGAAGGGAAAGAAGAGGAGAAGAGGAAAGGGATGGATAGAGAAGAGAAGAGGAGAAGAGAGAGAAAGAAGATGAGGAGAGAAGAGGAAGAGAAGAGAAAGAAATGGAGATGGAAGGATGAAAGGAGAGAAAGATGGAGGTGGAAGAGGAAGAGAAGGATGGAAGAGAAGAGAAAGAAGATGGTAGAAGGAAAGGAAGAGAAAGGAGAAGGAAGAGAGAGAAAGGAGATGGATGGAAGAGAAGAGAAATGAAGAGAAGATGAGGAATGAAGAAGAAGAAGGAGAAGGACGAAATGGAAGAGAAGAGGAAAGAGGATGAAGGAAGAGAAGAGAAAGGAGATGGAAAAGAGAAAGAGAAAGAATGAAAGGAAGGAAGGAGGAAGGAGGAAGAGAAGAGAAAGGAGAAGAGAAGGAAGGAAGATGAAGAAGAGAAGAGGAAAGAAGAATGGAGAAGGAAGAGAAAGGAGAAGGAAGAGAAGAGAAAGGAGATGGTAACGGGCAAGAAGAGAAAGGAGAAGAATGAGAAGGAGAAAGGAAGAGGAAGAGAAGAGAAGGAGGAGGAAGGAGAAGACGGAGAAGAGAAAGGAGACGGACAAGATGGGCAAGAGCAGAGAAGGAGACAGGGAAGAGAGGAAGACAAAGAGAGAAGAAAGGAGACGGGTAAGTAGATGGGTAAGAGAAGAGAAAGAAGATGGGTAAGTAGATGTGCAAGAGAAGAGAAAGAAGATGGGTAAGTAGATGGGCAAGAGAAGAGAAACGAGATGGGTAAGTAGATGGGTAAGAGAAGAGAAAGGAGATGGGTAAGTGGATAGGTAAGAGAAGAGTAAGGAGAAATGTAAGTAGATGGTGAAGAGCAGAGAAAGAAGATGAGTAAGTAGATGGGCAAGAGAAGAGAAAGGAGGAGGGTAAGTTGACGGTGAAGAGAAGATAAAGGAGATGGGTAAGTAGATTGGTAAGTATAAGGCAAGAGAAGAGAAAGGAGATGGATATGTAGATGGGTAAGAGAAAAGAAACGAGATGGGTAAGTAGATGGGCAAGAGAAGAGAAAGAAGATGGGTAAGTAGATGGGCAAGAGAAGAGAAAGGAGATGGATAAATAGATGGGCAAGAGAAGAGAAAGGAGATGATTAAGTAGATGGGTAAGTAGATGGGTAATAGAAGAAAAAGGAGGAGGGTAAGTTGACGGTGAAGAGAAGATAAAGGAGATGGGTAAGGGGATGGGTAAGTATATGGGCAAGAGAAGAGAAAGGAGATGGGTATGTAGATGGGTAAGAGAAAAGAAACGAGATGGGTAAGTAGATGGGCAAGAGAAGAGAAAGAAGATGGGTAAGTAGATGGGCAAGAGAAGAGAAAGGAGATGGGTATGTAGACGGGTAAGAGAAGAGAAAGGAGATTGGTAAGTAGATGGGTGATAGAAGAGAAGGGACATGGGTAAGTAGATGGGTAAGGGAAGAGAAAGGAGATGGGTAAGTAGATGGGTAAAAGAAGAGAAAGGAGATGGGTAAGTAGATGGGTAAGAGAAGAGAAAGAAGATGGGTAAGTAGATGGGCAAGAGAAGAGAAAGGAGATGGGTAAGTAGTTTGGTAAGAGAAGAGAAAGGAGATGGGTATCTAGACGGGTAAGAGAAGAGAAAGGAGATTGGTAAGTAGATGGGTAAGAGAAGAGAAAGGAGATGAGTACGTAGACAGTTAGTCACAGTGTCCTGGTAGTCATATTCTTGAGATAGTCACGGTGTGCAGGTAGTCACAGTCTCCAGATGTTCACAGTCTCCTGGTAGTCATAGTCTCTTGGTTGTCACGGTGTCCATGTCGTCACAGTCTCCAGATGTCCACAGTCTCCTGGTAGTCAGTGTCCAGGTAGTAACAGTGTTCAGGTAGTCATAGTGTCCTGGTCGTCACAGTGTCCAGGTAGTGACAGTGTCCAGGTAGTCATAGTCTCCGGATAGTCATAGTCTCCTGACAGTCACGGTGTCCAGGTAGTCACAGTCTCCAGATAGCCACAGTCTCCTAGTAGTCACAGTGCCCAAGTGGTCACAGTGGGCAGGTAGTCATAGTGTCCTGGTCGTCACAGTGTCCAGGTAGTGACAGTGTCCAGGTAGTCATAGTGTCTTGGCAGTTACAGTGTCCTGGTAGGCACAGTTTCCAGTTAGCCACAGTGTCGTGGTAGATAGACACAGCTAGTCTCCTGGTAGTCACAGTGTCGAGGTAATCACATTGTCCAGGTAGACACAGTATCCAGGTCGTCACAGTGTCCTGGAAGTCATTGTGTCCAGGTAGTCACAGTGTCCTAGTAGTCACAGTGTCCAGGTCGTCTCAGTGTCCTGGTAGTCACAGCTAGTCTCCAGGTAGTCACAGTGTCGCGGTAGTCACAGTGTCCTGGTAGTCACAGTGTCGCAATGTAGTGGTATTCACAATCACAGTGTCCTTATGTAACGGTGTCCTGGTTTAATACAGTTTTTTTTCATTGAGCTGATCAAATGCACATCCTCAGCCTCTGTGGGGAACGTTGTGCCCGTAAGCATAACATTAGCATATATTGAAAACGGACATATTTCTACCTGGCCCCTGCGTCACCAGGGGTTTCAACTCCTGGAAAGATAAGTGTCATGCTACCGTGAGTCAAGCTATACTCATTTTAATATATGCTAATGAGGCGATATGACATTCCTGCAGATAGCCTTATGTCACATGATAGTCAGGTCGTAGAAGGAAGTAGAACGCTGAAGCCGCCACACCGTGACAAGAGCCGTACCTGCTACTAATACTACTCAGGTTTCAACACAGTTAATGGCGCCTATATCAGAAAATAGTAAAGAACAGCGTTCGCAGTCTGAGTGTCTTTTTCGATCAAACGACTCAACCGTCATATGCAAGCCTTAAGTATGAAAGTATCATCTCTGGTAATGTTGTGTAAATTGTGTGTGCAGGCTTGTGGGACCATTCACCGTTACAAACGATTGTACAGTGATTATTTTCTGTAAAGTTTATTTTGGTCGTGGGTACATATCAGTAACTTCGGTAGTATCAACAAAAATATATCATAATGACCGATAATGAAATTAAGTATTGCGAGAAAAGCCCGCAATATTATATATATAAAGCGTAAGGAATACGCTAAATTAGTCACTTTGTTTAACCCGCGGTATCACCAATTTGAACCGAAATTTATCCTGTACACTTTTTATATAATCTTTATAGAATTGTTTTCACTCTATACTTTATAGAAGCCCATCAATCATACCACATTAAGGAACTTAAATAACATCCTAATACATGAGTTATTTCAGCTTTACATGTACCATAGAGCTATTTACTAACAGAGGAAAGGAAAGCACTACTTTAATGTGTGAAACAAACTGGCAAAGATTTGACTCACTCTGCAAGATTTAAAGGAATACTCCTTAAAATTAGACTACCATCAGATTCAGTTTGTTCCAAGGAAACGCGAATATCCCAGAACCGTTAGATGTAACCGTTTAGCTGTGTTAAATGCTAAAAACTAGCGAGCGTAACCTTTTCAGTCTTTTGAAATACACCCGAAAACCGGTGAATATTTACCGCAAGTGCATTTAACGGGATTTGGATGCTGAATAACGATCGGTTTCCATGTTACACTGGCATATATGAATGTCGGCCTACTGACATGCCTTACATGACGCCCAATGCCCCAATAGTGTGAGGGTCACAATGCATTAATACGCGTAGCCCATGGGACACACTAGTCTGTCTCACAGTCCCGGAACCACATTATTTTCTCTACTGCCTAGCCCTCTCTGCAGTGCTAAAGCCCTAAATAAAGCAAGTCTAGATTTCCTCAGGTTCTGAATCTCTGGTCTGCCCAGGGCTCCTTTTGAATTTAAATGGGCTTGTTTGTTACTATCAAAATTATATATATTCAGAGACTAAGCATTAGTCTAGGGACACACAAACAGGTTCCCTACCGCGTCACAGGTTTTGCTGTACTGTTCGGCTGTAACAGCTAGGCCATGTATTGGTGAAGACAAGGAATGTTGACCTCCCTCAACCGTTGGGGCCCTTGTTCACGCACCCGGTAAACAGTCGTTGCAGCTATATTTACACCTCGCATGGGACACTTGCGGTTTGTCGCCACGCCAACAATACTAACGGATGGTGCGTTCGATCGGAACTCATGGTGAAGCGCATACATAGAAATCAGAACACACGTTTTCGACAAGGCGCCCAGGTCTTACAACGTTACAGTGTCAGACACCATCATGTGTAAGGCGCGTATTAAAAGTGCTGTGAATTATTATAGGAACAGTTAGAACCTCATCAACCTTCTGAAACCTACACGTACGAAAACACGATTTAACCGATTTCAGAGATCTATTTAGCCGTTTCATACCAGATCTTATATATCTAATAAACCATTGGAACATAATATATACATATATGAAGTACAGGGCATACGAAAATAACATACACCAGTTTTGTTTCTACAAGCAACTGAAAATTGAAAGAGTTACTTAAAATAATGTTTGGCTTGGAAACATTGTGAAAAATTGGTCCAGTGTCGCCAAGGCCTAGATTTTCGAAGCTCTCTTAGCGCTAGGATAGTCGTAAGTACCATGCATTAACATTAACTTACGACGATCTTTGCACTAAGAGAGCTTCGAAAATCTAGGCCCTGGCGTAAGAAATGATCATGAATGATGCCTTCTATGTTTGGAATGATACAAATTGCATAAATACAATAATACTTTGAAGTTCGAAGTTAACACGCCAAAGATACAAAACAAGTTTTGTGAATAATGCGACTTTTAAAAGTTTAATAGAAGTGAAAACATGCTGAACTACTCTTTGAATTCTAAGCCCCAGTACGGTTAATGTTTTGGGGAAACTTCGCTAATTTAAATATTTTATTTTATTTTTGACAGGCAGCTCTTATAGCAAAAATTAAATTTGATACTGTGCCATTAGTGATGTTAAACTTTTTGATGTTAAACATGCATACTTTTCTTCTTACCCCTATAAAGTAACAATGTTTAAAAACTTTAAAATTAAATCTGTTTCACCTAAAAATGAGGAACCTGAAATAAAAAAGTTGCAAATATGCCACGCACCTACACCATATTGCTGGTGACTTGACATCTAACACTTACGGGAAGGCAATATATTGATATATACAAAGACAGAAGTATAGAGAGCAACTGTATGCAGTGATATAAGTGTTTAAGTTTTATTAAGGTATTAGGGAGTAAACTATGAAAACACGCCTATGTATGCCGAACTAACTCTGGGAACAGCCCGATAAACTAAACTGCTTGCATCCTCGTTACAAAAAATACGAAATACAAAACTGTTATCCGTTGACAGAATGTACAAAGTAACGCAGTGGTGAACAAAACGAACCAACCGAACACGCCATAACTGTATACAGAGGCCAGCTCCTGACATTCATTCATAAAATTAATCTGGGTACACCAACATCACGTGGTGTCAGGGACAGTCTAACAGTAAATACAGCGTCACTTGACACCTTAATCAGGTGAATAATTTCTAAATTGTTCAGAAGAAAATGGTGGTAAATTTGTTTTTTTGAAAAATGGATGTTTGGCAATGAAACTATTAAGACATCGACCTATTATAATTATCGTGGGTTAACGTTTTCTAACAGGTTATGTTGGTCAAAGGGTATTGAAGTTCTTG